AGGTGCGCGCGCATGTAGTCGGCCACGCCGCGCTGCAGGGAGGCCACGCCGTACTTGGTGGCCAACCTGTGCAGGGGGATGGCCTGGGTCAGCAGCACAGTCAGCTCCCCGCAGTACAGGTACCTGCGGGAGAGACCAAGAGGTGGGGTGGGGTCAGGGCGGTACCCACCTCCCAGCATAGCTTTTTCTGAGTCCACAGGGGACCCGGTCTGGAGTTGGAGCTTCACGGTTCAGGTGCAAATACAGTGGAAGCCCCACCCTGAGGCTTCCCATGTTTTCCTTTCAAGGACCCTTCCAGGCCATTCTTACTTCACAGGCTCTTCTTTCCGTTTCCGTGGTGATGTAGAAATTGCCTGCCTTGACTGTGCCTGTACTAGGCCTGCAGCTCTAGGCCGGAACAAAACAGACGTGGCTCCTGCCGTTGGGAGGATCCAGTCTGGTTGGGATCCATGGCCTGCCTTCTCCTTGCCATGAGTCTGGGCAAGTCACTTAATTTCAATGAACCTTAGGTTAATCAATCATTTGGGAAAGGGGGAGTGGCACACACCCCTCAGGGTTATTGTGACAACCAGAGGAGAATAAAGAATCTTGCTACAGGCCAGGTGGGTGCCAGTGGCTCACACCTGGAATCTCAGCACTTTGGAAGGCCAAGATGGGAGGACTGCTTGAGGCCAGGAGTTCAAGACCAGCTTGGGCAACATAGCGAGACCCTATCTCTACCAAAAAAAAAAAAAAGTTAAAACATTAGTCATGCTTGGTGGTGCACACTTGTAGTCCCAGCTGCTTGGGAGTCTGAGTCAGGAAGATAGCTTCAGCCCAGGAGTTCAAGGCTGCGGTGAGCTACGATCATGCCACTACACTCTAGCTTTGTTTTGTTTTGTTTTGTTTTGAGATGGGGTCTTTCCGTGTTGCCCAGGTTGGTCTCAAACTCCCGGACTTGAGCAGTCCTCCCACCTTGGCCTCCCAAAGTGCTGGGAATGCAGGTGTGAGCCCCCATTTCTTTTTTGCAACCTCGCCTTTTGTTTTTCCTCTCCTGCTGTTGATGATCACTTGTGCTGAGTATCTCTCCCTCTCACTTCATCTGCTGCTGTCCCGCTGCTCACCCTTCCTGCCAGTCCCCACTGGCACACGGCACCGCCCTTGCCCCATAGGAGTGCGGCAGCCACTGCCAGCCATCTTCCCCAACATCCATTTCTCCCTTTTCCCCTGCGTGATTGCCTCTGGGAATAAAAGACCACATTTCCCAGGCTCCCTGATAGTGGGCATGGCCATGTGACTAACTGCTGGTCAATGGGCACCAGGAAGGCTGGTTAAATGCAACTGATTCAGGATAACAGGAAGACCCTTTTTGCCCTTCTGTCTTATCCCCTTTCCTGTTGCCTGAAACTTGGAAGCAATGTATGGAATTCTGCAGGCATCTCGTCTGAGCCGTTAGAACAGAGTTACTTTCTTAGACACTAGTGTGAATGGCACTCCCTGTGCAGCACCATGGCAGGAGGCAGGAGAGAGCCGTCTAACTTTTTCAACTCCCTAGCCCTGTGGTTCCAAACCTGGCCAAACACCAAAACCACAGAGATGCTTTAAAATAAAAAATATTCCTCTATAACGGAATATTTAGGAAAATAAAAAGTAAATAAATAAAATAAAATAAAAAATGATTGCTCGCCCTAACCCTAGACCTGAAACTGATGATCCAGGTTGGGACCCATGAAACTGTAGTTTTTTTGTTTGTTTGGTTGGCTCGTTGGTTGGTTTTTTTGAGACAGAATCCTGCTCTGTTGCTCAGGCTGGAGTCTAGTGGCACGATCTCAGCTCACTGCAAACCCAAACTCCACCTCCCAGGTTCAAGCAATTCTCCTGCCTTAGCCTCCCGAATAGCTGGGATTACAGTTGCACGCCACCACACCCAGCTAATTTTCTATATTTTTAGTGGAGACGGGGTTTCACCATGTTGGGCAGGCTGGTCTCGAACTCCTGACCTCAGGTGATCTGCCTGCTTCGGCCTCCCAAATTGCTGGGATTACAGGCATGAGCCACCATGCCCAGCCCCCAAACTGTAGTTTTTAAAAGCTGTCCCATGGCCAGGTTTGGAAACAGCTCTGAGGGGGTTACCAGGAACCGAAAGTGACATCAAACTGTGCAGATGACACAGGCAAAGACAGGGAGCTGTACAGTGGAAGAAGGGATCCAGGGGTCACTGTCATCCCAGTGATGTCTGGGGAAACGGACATAACAACCTCTAAGGGCCTGGGCTTCCCTGACCCTGTAGGTGGAGGAGCCAGGGACTGAGGAAGGGATGAAGCCTCCCCCTAGTCTTCCCTGTCCCACCTGATGAACTTGTCGAAGACCGCGGCGCAGTCCCGTGGCTCCTGCAGCACCGCCTCGCTCTGGTTACTCAGCAGCTCCCGGAACAGCTCGCTGTGCAGTCCCAGCAGCAGGCGGTGGGCGTGGAAGACCCGGACCTCGTCGGTGCCCGCAGCCTGCACCCGCAGAACCACGTCACTGGCGTTGCCCTGTCGCAGCAGCTCCTGCAAGCGCTGGAGCACCGCCTGGGAGTGGTTGATGGAGGTGCCAGCTGCCTCCCCGCCAACATCGGCTCTCTGGGCTGCAGCAGGAAGGAGCACAGCACAGCCTGAGAGGGCGTCCGGGCCCAGGACCTCAGTTGGGGGTGGAGAGCGACCAGCTGGAGACATATGCATGGGTGTGAGCAGAGGGCAAGATGGGCCTAGGCAGACTGTGTGTGCACACCTGTTTGTGCCCACGAGGCGCGTGGATGCATCTGTGACACACAAACACATCCTGGGTGGGAAGGTCATGCCGGTGCAAACCCCAAGAAGATGCTCTTGGACGGGGGCACATTCAGGCAGGGAGAGGTTGTGCTCAGGTTTGGGACAACATGCCCAGAACTCACTTCCGTGCTGCCAGCTCCCCAGGCAAGGGTTGAGGAAACTCATGGTCCCACCCTTCTCACCTCCTAAAGAATTGTCCATCTAACCCCTTGAAGCAGTAGTCAGAAGTGGTGCCTTCACTAACAAATATTTACTGAGCACTTACTATATGCTAAACATTCTCCTAAGAGTTTGGGATATGGCAGTGGACAAAGCAAGCCAAGTTCTTACGCTCATAAAAGCACAAACTGACATATCAGACAGGTAAGACGCACACAAATAAGCACTCCAGTTTGTAAGGAGCCAGCCAGGGAACCAGTGCCAAGGCGCGATCCAGCCCTGCAAAGGCCTTTGAAGGGAATGGGCCTGGGGTACTGGGAGCAGAGAGAGTGTTAGGGAGGCCAGAGCAGTGGCAGGAGAGAGGGTGTGCGACGAGGCTGCAGGTGTGGAAGGGAAGCTGTTTTCCAGGCCCAGCTCTTCCCTCTTGGGTCCTGATCTCTGAGACAGAAGCCCACTTTCTGTGGGTGGCCAGCAGGGGACAGGAGAAAGTGCGAAGGGCCAGCTGGTGCTGGAACAGAACTTCCTGGGTAACTGAGCATCGAGGCCGGCTAGGCCGGCCCTTTTCTCATGCTCCAGGGATGAGAATGACAGTCAGATGGGGATGTGCACTCAGTTACAGAAACTGTCAGCAGCTTTCCCAAGCCGAGAACAGCAAGGGGAGCCTTGCAGAGGGAGGCGGGCAGGGGCCTGATAGCAGCAGATGGGCCCCGGCCACATGCGCGCGCGCGCACAGCACATGCAGGCCCGTGGTGCACACAGGAGAGAAGGCTGGCACAGGAGCAGAGCATCTGTGCATGAGAGAGGGAGGCCAAGGGAGAAAGGGAGGGTGAGAGAGAAGCGGGTAGTGCATTTCCCAGCCCTGCCTCCCCCAGCTGTCACTTTGAAGGACCTGAATGCTGATGGCGTCCCCATTCAGCCTCTGCCCAGGACAATGGGCAATGGAGGGTCCTCTTGTCCTTAAGACCCCTGCCCGCCTGCCCGCCTGGCCCCTCCTTCCTTCAGAGAGATGAGTCCGTGGAGCTGTCCAGTCCACCCCGTGCTCTCCCCAGCAGCTGGACACCGCCCCCTCCCGGCCGGCTGCGTGCAGCCAGGGCTGGGACGTCCTGCTGCTCCACCCTGCCCCGCACCTGGCCCACTGCCCGCTCACCTGCACGTGTGACCAGGCCCACCAAGGTCAGCATGGCCCAGAAGCTGCCCCAGGACCCAGGCTTGGAGTAGCCTCTCCTAGGCATCTTTGTGCTCAGCCCCCAAGTCCACTGGAGGGACGGTGAAGCCCAGACCACTCTGCTCACATCCCTCTTCCTTATATAGGATCCAGCACAAGGGGACGGCACCCCCCTTCCTGCCTGGCCTCCCTCCCCCACTCAGCCTCCTCCATGGATTGGTGGAAACTGGCCCCAGCTGTTGCCCAGGCAACCACTTAAGCCAGAGAGCGGCAGCCCCGGGGACTATTGTGCTGCCTGTGGGCCCCCAAGGGGAACAGATCCGGAACCCTCCTCCCCCAATCTCCTTACCACCCAGCAGGGCTAGCCGTGCCTCTCCCTGGAAAGTTTCAGGCTCTCTGGAGAATAGGCGAGGGGCTCCAGGACCACTGGCAGCCATTGGCCTCCCCCAACCCCAGGCCTCAGCCCTGGCACGGAGCGCACTTGGCAGCGTCGTGGCTGGAGCGCCATGGTGAGCCGGCTGCAAAGGAAGGGCCTGGAAGAGGAGAGGAGAGGCGGCTGAGGCTCCCACCCCTCCCCCACTCCCATTTGGGGTGGGTCAGCTCCTCAGAGAAAAGCTCAGGCATCTCTCGAATAGGGGCCCATGGGTAACTGGTATCAGTTGCACATTCTTTGTTGGAGAAGATTCCCGGAGTGCTGTGGGGAGGGTGATGGGCTGGCAGGAAAGTTCTGAAGGGACTGTGACTGTCACCTCCCCCAGGGGCAAACTGAGCCAGGTGGCAGGGCTGGGCATAGAGCAGATGCCCCCTGCCCCGTGTACCACTGCATGGGCGACCCCTGCCCAGAGCGGAGCTGGCCACCTTCCAGCTCTGCGCTCCAGCCAGCCCAAGGCTGGGTACTGTCTGCCCTGCTGTTTCCTGGCTTGAATTCTCCTTCTCCAAGTGGCCTCAGGTCTCTGAGTTCACCTCCTTGGAAGGCTTCTTTTACCAGCTTCTGTCTTCTTTCCAACTGTAATTTTTCCTTTTCCAGAGTTCCGAGGAGGCATGCTGCAGGCCTGGTGTCTCACTCCCACTGTCGGGAGACTGAGGCAGGGAGCTAGGTTGCAGTCTCAGTTGGGTTAGTGCAGAGGAGTGCTCTTCTAAAAACAAAGGCAACAGAGAGAGGAAAGTGAGGTCTAGAGCTCAGCGGAAGCATGTGTGTGTGTGGTGGCATGCTGTGAGTCCTCACCTTTGCAGGGAGCCAGCAGGGTCTGCCCCAGCTCTTCGTGGGAGGGACTGTTTTGAGCTTGGCTAACTGAAGTGGGTGGCTCCCAAGGGATCTGACTCGGAGGCAGGGCTCTGGGTTGGGGATGAATTGAATCTTCCTCTCCCTGGCTCTCTGGATCCCAGGGGCCAGCTCGATGCATTGATTTCTGCCTCTGGCTGGCACAGAGACCCAACAGCTCCACCCCCTCTCTGGAGCCACAGAGAGAGCAAGAACTGGGTCTGGCACCTGCCTCGTCCGGGTTGGCAGAGTTGGAGATCTCCAACCCAGCGGAAACCCCTCCGGCTGCCCTGACTTTCATGCCTGGCTCCCCTCGTCCAAATCCACTATCCCTTGCCCACTGGCTGCCCGCCTGCCCTTCCCATGGGCTGTACCATGTCCTGGCTCAACCCAGCAAGTCCGAGTCTCCATGCAGCAGGGCAGCCCTTGTCCCTGAGGGCACCCCAGCTTCCAAGCACAGTGCTTTCAATAGGAATGTTATTGATGATAAGAGAACCCGCTACTCAGAAAACTGTCGTTTGATATTTGTGCCTCTCAACTCCAGCCTCCTTCAGCCTCTGCATCAGTCATTCTTTGTTTTGTTTTGCTTTTCTAGAGGCAGAATCTCTCAGTCACCAAGGCTGGAGTGCAGTGACGCAATCTTAGCTCACTGCAGCCTCAAACTCCTAGGCCCAAGCGATCCTCCTGCCTCAGCCTCCCAAGTAGCTGGGACACAGACAGTGCCACCATGCCCAGCTAATTTTGTGTCAGTCATTCTTGAAGGGTAGCCACCTGCATTAGAATCTCCCATGCTCCACCTTGGAACCGGAATTTTCGGGGGCAGGGTCTGGCTGGCTGTATTTTCTAAGTACTCCCAGACAATTGTTACACGCACCGCAAGATAAGCTCTACCTACTAGAGTTAGATTGGTGGCATTTCAAGTGTGAAGGAAGCTGGGAGGCCCTGGATCATCAAGAAGACCCGGGAGAGTCACCTCTGACTCCCCATCTCTGGCAGGCCCCACCTCCCATTATTTCTAACCTCCCTTATCCCTGGCCCTAAATCGAATGATTTAGAAACTAGCTTTCCACATAGAGGCATGCTCTGTTCTCATTTTCTTAACTGAGCACTGCTGGAGTGTCTGTGTGTGTGTGTGTGTTATGCATATGCACACATGTATGCAGTGTGCGTGCATGTGCATATTTATATGTGTGTGTGCGTGTTGTGTGTGCTGTGTGTGTTATGCATATGCACACGGGTGTATGCAGTGTGTGTGCATGTGCATATTTATATATGTGTGTGTGTGTTGTGTGTGCGTGCATATTTGTGGATATGTGTGTGTGGTGTGTGTACTTGCATGTTTATGTATGGGAGAGTGTCCTGGGGCGGGAGAGAGGAAGCCAGGTGTTTGCCCTGAGCAGTCTTTTTTATTTTTCTTTTGAGATGGAGCCTCACCCTGTCACCCAGGCTGGAGTGCAGTGGCGCCATCTCAACTCACTGCAACTGCCACCTTTTGGGTTCAAGCAATTCTCCTGCCTCAGCCTCCTGTGTAGCTGGGATTATGGGTGTGCACTACTATGCCCAGCTAATTTTTTTATTTTTAGTAGAGACAAGGTTTCACCATGTTGGCCAGACTGGTCTCGAACTCCTGACCTCAGGTGATCCTCCTGCCTTGGCCTCCCAAAGTGCTGGGATTACAGGCATGGGCCAAGTGCTTGGCCAAGTCTTTGAGAGGAAGGATCTGCAGCACTGCATATATATGTATATACACATATGTATATAGATATATATACACATGTATATACACATATTTATATATATACACACATATACATACACACATATATACACATACACACATATATACATATATACACATACACACCCATATATACACACACATATACACATATATAGACATACACACATATACACACATACATATATATACACATACACACACACACACATGTATACACATATATACACATATACACACATACACATACACACACATATACACACATGTATATACATATATACACATACATATGCACACATATATACACACACATATATATACACATACACACATGCATATATATACACACATACACACACACATATATATATATACACATACACACACATGTATACACACATATATACACACATACACACACACACATATATATATATACACACACACATATTGGCTCTGTGGATCTGGGAGCTCCATAATTCCTTGAAGGCAAGTCTGATGAGTTCACAAGCCAGCACCATCCCAGAGAGGAGTGTTACTTCCCGCCCCAGACGGGAGTGTTTATAGCCCAAGCCATGTGTCTGAGGTCTTCTGACCAGGAACCTCAGAGGCAGGATTTATTTTTCGAGTTCTGAGTTCTGCTTGCCTTTTCTTTTTTCTGATGTTGTTGTTGTTGTTGTTGTTGTTGTTAGAGATGGGGTCTCACTCTTTCACCCAGGCTGGAGTGTGATGGCACTTTCATAGCTCACCACAGCCTCAAATTCCTGGGCTGAAGCAATCCTCCAGCCTCAACCTTCCAAGTAGCTGGGACCACAGTGTGAACCACTGCACCTGGCTACTTGACTTTTCTTTGCACAACCCCATGTTGTCTTTTTTTTTTTTTTTTTTTTTAGATGGAGTCTCGCTCTGTCGCCAGGCTGGAGTACAGTGGTGCAGTCTCGGCTCACTGCAACCTCTGCCTCCTGGGTTCAAGCGATTCTCCTGCCTTTGCCTCCCGAGTAGCTGGGACTACAGGAACCCACTACCACGCCCAGCTAATTGTTGTATTTTTAGTAGAGACAGGGTTTCATCATGTTGGCCAGTATGATCTCGATCTCCTGACCTCATGATCTACCTGCCTCGGCCTCCCGAAGTGCTGGGATTACAGTCATGAGCCACCGCGCCTGGCCCATGCTGTCTTTTGGGGGAAGTTTTTCCCGTTGTGATAAGTGATCCCTTTGGACAAGGAATCTCTAGTATTATAAAAGCAATGGAAAACTCTTGCAAGCTTGGGATCAGATGAAGAGTTTCTGAATCTGCAAAGGGGGTAATCAGACACTGGGCTGTGATAACACCTCAGAGGGGTGGGCTCCAGACGCAGCCTGGCCCTACCTGGCATCCTCCTTTGCATCTGTAGTGCCTCCTGTCCTGACTTAGGGTTCCCTGAGTCACTGGGCCACTTGGACTGGGGACAGGAAATCATGGGTTTAAGTTCCAGGACCCGTGTACTCAGGGGAGCACATAAAGATAAATATGAGGCCAGGCACGGTGGCTTACATCTTTAATCCCAGCACTTTGGGAGGCTGAGGCGGGCGGATCACTTGAGGTCAGGAGTTCAAGCCCAGCCTGGGCAACATGGTGAAACCCTGTTTCTACTAAAAATACAAATTATCAGCCGGGTGTGGTGGCTGGTGACTGTAATCCCAGCTACTTGGGAGGCTGAGGCAGGAAAATCATTTGAACACGGGAAGCAGAGGTTGCAGTGAGCTGAGATTGTACCCCTGCACTCCAGCCTGGGCAACAGAGAGAGACTCTGTCTCAAACAAATAAACAAACAAAAAACCTTAAATAAGAAGGAATCCTTGGCCAGGTACAGTGGCTCACATCTGTAATCCCAGCACTTTGGGAGGCCGAGGCAGGTGGATTGCATGAGCCCAGGAGCTCGAGACCAGCCTGGGCAACATGATGAAACGCTGTCTCTACAAAAAATACAAAAAATTAGCTGGGTGTGGTGGTGCATGCCTATAATCCCAGCTACTCAGGAGGCTGAGAAAGGAGGATCGCTTGAGCCTGGGAGTTCGAGACTGCAGTGAGCTATGATCACACCACTGTACCACAGCCTGGGTGAC